TGCCGCTTATAAGGATGCCTCTCACTTAAATAGGTGCTGTCCCAGCACTTTCTCTCAGGCAAAATTAACAAGGCAGGCTAAGAAAATGTCAACTAGCCAGTTCCTTCCAATTATAGACATTTCTACTCATATATCTCAAAGTACCTCAAACTCAATGTGTCCAAAATAGAGCTATGATCACCGCAGACCTGCTCAATTTCCGGTATTCTTAGCTCCTTGAATGGCATCACTGTGCCATTAATTGGACAAGCCGGAAGCCTAGAAGTGAGTCTTGTCGTCTTCCATGCTATCATGTTCCATGACTGTGCTATCGCCGAGTTCTGTCCATTTTATTTCCGTCATTCCTCTTGAACCAATTTATTTTATCCTGTATTTATCATTACGGTAGCCTGGGTACCACCCTCTTCTTCTAACTGGCCTCTCATGTCCATTCTTATCTGCCCTGCGGCCCCAACAGTCATCTACAAATGTGAATCTGAACAAGACGTTCCCTCCCTTAGGAACTGTAATGATTTCCCATGGTTTTTAGGATAAAAACCAAAGTTCCTGACCCTAATAATCCATTTGCCTCCCAATTCAGCCACATGGTTCACTCTTCTTCCTGCCTCCTTTCGCCACGTGACGTGTCCTCTTTAGAACACGCTCCTCCTCTCTCTGGTCTCTTTGGCCTAGTTAACGCCTGCATCTCGTCTTCCGTGTCTCTGCTTAGCTGGCTCATTTCGGGAGGAGTTTTCCTGATATCACTGATAACGCGTAACTAGTGCAGCTTATGTCATGGACAGAGGAAAAGGAGCTTTGGACTTAAACACTCCCAGCCAAGCCAAGATTCTAACATTTCTTCATGAGTAGCCTGTCCCTTCTTTTTCTTGCATGCTGGTTTAATGTCCACTTTTATGATGGGTCATAAATGACTTCCTTCTCCCTTTGCTTTCTGTAAATTCTATGAGGATAAGTCTCGTTTGTTCATCCTCAAGTCCCCAGTGCCCAGCACACTTCCGGTCTCATAGCAGAGGTTCTAAACATACTTGTAACATAAATGAATTCAAGGATTTTGCCTTCCACGCTTTCTCCTAGCATATTCTCCACCTGATTGAGCTGTGGACTGCACCACAGGTTTACCAGTGATTCTCCTTGCTCTTACAAGTCTACAAGGACATCCAAGTTTATTCAGATGCTATGTCCTAAACATGTTTTGATGGTCCCCTATCAGGGAGGCCTGCATGAACCTCGGAGTGAGAGTGAAATGGAAGAAAACTTGTCCAGGGGGATTCTGTCTTACCATCTCCCCTGCAAGACAGGCAGGAGAGACGTCTGAATCTCAGGACAATTACCTGGGATGTGGGAAGATATTCTCACAAAGTGGTCTTCCTAGGAGTCCTCCCTCTCGGCTTTTCATCCTCCTCTCTCTCCAACTCCCCTCAGGCTTTGATAGAGTACATATTTACAGAGGAAAGAGCTGCCTTTTTTACATTTTTGTTCACTGGAAAGTGTAGGTCTGTAGAAGGAGAGAAATGTCACGCTGCTGTTAGCTTTCTGTAAAGCAGCACACGCTTCTGTAGTGTGTGTTTATTACTTACCCCTTGAGCTAAACGTGAGTCTGAGAAGTAATTGCCCTGGTCTCCAGGCGAGTCCATTTCCCTGTAGGTGCGCTTGCAGGCGCTGAGGAGCCCTGAGGTGTAATCTTTACACAGCTGCCTTGGCAACTGAGTTCACCAGTGTTTGCTGTGTGCCCAAGGACAAGCAGGTTTCTGCAGCAGTGGGTGTTTCTAACAAATTCCCCTCTCAAATTGGCACATTCTCTGCGAGCTTTCCAGGCTTCATGGTGTGTCTCACAGTTTGGGGAAAATTTTCACTGCCATCTGACTGGCAAGTACCAGTTCTATGGTAATTTGTGTCTTTAAAATAGCTTAATACACAATAGGGTACAGAGGTCCATTTTGCTCCTGACGTAATCACTTAAATACATATCCTGCGGTGTTCCTGACACAAAGGATCGCTTCTCAACACATTCAGAATGCCATCATGCTGTATGTCCTTAGCTTTTTCTACAGACTTACATTATCTATCCCTAAAGAAAGGTTAAACTTCCATTCTAGATTAATTTCCCCTTCGAGTCTATGTTTCTCAGAGATTTCATAATGTTGAATTATTATTTTTTCTTCAAATGTTCTATCAAGTCATTTATAGTGTATAAGACTGAGTGACAGCTTTGAAGCTACCTGTGCTACCTTGAGGATGATAACTGGCTTGCTTTTCCCAGGAGTACACTGGGTACCCAGGGCTGGGGGGTTTCAGGCTAAAAGCAAAAGAGTCCAAGACAAATTAGGACACAGTGGTCACCCTGCTGTGAGGGGTAGGAAACCCAGTCAAGGGAAATTTTTGTTCTCTAGGTAGACTAGTTTAGTGGTTGATAGGCATTTCCTAAACCTATAGTTTATAAAAGTGCCTTTCCCTTTATTTTTAAAATACAATAGCTTATGAAGAGATAATTCATGCCACACAACTAATAGAACTATTTGAAGTGCATACTTTAAAGGTTTAAGTTGGGTAACCCTAACCACAATTAATTTTAAAACATTTTCAAAACTCCCCACCCCTGAAAACCATCAGTAGTCACCCTCATGTCTAACACACACCAATCTTTTATCTTCTGGAAACCACCTTCTGCTCTCAGGCTCGATAGAGTCCCCCTTTCTGGGTATTTCATACAAATCAAATCGTAACATATGTGGCCTTTTGGTTCTAGTTTATCTTAGCATAATGTCTTCAGAGTGTATCGACGTTGTAGCACATATCAGAACTTTACTTCATTTTTTGAAAAACATTCTACCTCTCACTATATATACTTCTCTCTATATAGATGTATGATACCTATCTATATCGATCTATTATATCTATATTGTTGATAGACTATATAGATGTATACCTACATTTATATATCTATGTATCTACATCTACTAGATATATATCAGATTTATTTACCTATTAATACACTGGATATATACATTGGATACAGTGGATGTGTACAGTGTCTCTCCCTTTTGGCCACTTACGTATAAGCTTCTGTGTGGATATGCTTCCATTTCTCTTGCGTATGTGCCTATGACTGGCATTGCAGGTTGGCACTGACTCTGTGTTTGACATTTGGAGGAACTGTCAGATTACTTTACAGAGCAGCCAGATTAAAACTTTCCACTCCCAGCAGCAGAGAATGTAGGTTTCTTCTTCTATATATCTTTGTCAACACTTATGATTGTCTGCTTTTTTAATTACAGTCTTCATACTATCTATGAAGTGGCATCTTGTAGTTTTCATTTGCATTTCTCTACTAGGCAGTGATATTGTTTTTTATATGTTTATTGCTAAGCTTTTTAAATGAATGATATTTAAATTTAAATTCAATGCTCACAAATATTTTCCAGTATCTCAAATTCTTCTACCCAACGTAAAATCTGCACATCTTATTTAGACCATTGACCTTTCCTCATGAACAGAGTAAGTCTCTCGCTTTCCAAAGCTGAGGCCTCCTCTGCTGCTTCCACCAAACCTTCCCACCACAGTGGCCGTCTTTTCCTGGAGTCTATTGGGCAATGAATTGCATGTTTCCTGAGTGTAACACTGCATGTGTGCCCTGGCACAGTGTTGACCAGTATCTGTCCAGTGGTCACTCTCACTACTGGGCTCTGGATGTTGGGTAATTTACCCATCGTTTTGTCTCCTCTCACCTCTCTGATTTTCTGTTCTTATTCTTTTTCCCTCTCTAGATTCTCTTGTATACTCTATGCATTTGTTTAATTTCTCTCGTGACGGGGTCTCTCTAAGTTGCCCAGAATGAGCTCAGAGTTGTGATTCTCTTGCCTCAGAGTGCTGGGATTACGAGTCCATCCACCACGCTGCACTTGTGTAATTTTAATAATTTATTAGTTTTTCTTTGTCGCTTGCCTAACAAATTCTGAATGGACCCAGGCATGTTAATCATGAATCTTTCCATTACTGTAACCTATCTATGAGTTAATCAGCTTACAAAGTGAAGTTTTATTTTCATCGGTGGTTTCATGGCTTGTGCTTACCTTTAGGCCTGTGGTGAGGCAAATTGTCACGTGGGAATAACGTGTGGGAATATCATGTGGGACCATGTGCAAAGCAAAACTACCCATCTCAAGGTTGGGAGGCAAAAGAGAAAGAGAGGAAAAGACCAGAATCCCGTAAGTCCCTTTGAGGTTGGGTCCTCAGTGACTTTAAGACCTTCCAGGAGTCCCCTCCTACATAGCACCAGCTGGGGGTCAGGCCTTTAGCACATGGCCTTGAGGGTCATGCCTGATCCAAACTGCAGCACCATGACACTCTGTCACATCCCCGTCCTTGCTTGGTTTTCATGGATTAATTGATTTTCTCTCAAGAAACCCTTTTGATCTGACAGAAAAGGACTGGACTCCTGGCAAGGCTCCCAAGAAAATTATGTCTCTCAGCAAATGCACTGTATCTGCAGTAATTTTTGGAACCTTATAGTAAGGACTTAGTCATTTTCCAGTGGGGCTCTGGCCACAGTCGCAGTATAGTTTTTAAAATGTCCTCGCATGACTCCACTCCACTCATCCCGTGCTATTCAACAAGTACTACAAAGATAATCTTTCAGCATTTTAAGCCTATTGTTACTTGCTGTGTATGGATAAAATAGCCACTATTTTGCAGCTTGGCAGACAGGACAAGGATGAAATAATAATAGTTAATAAGTTAATAAAGAAGTAGAAGAAAAATAACCGTGGAAGCATCCAGGTATTACTATTATTATTATTATTATTAATTATTATCACTTCCATTTACTGTTTATCAAAAACTTGAGCTCCGCTTAAGGTAGTATGGTCATATTTAGACACAACACCGCCCTCATTTCCTCTTTCTCCACATGGATCTCCTTAAGGGTGCACATTCTGGATCACACTGCTGTGGGGCTCCTCTGCCAGGGCAGCCAGTGATGCTGGTTGGTTTGTGTGTTTCAGAGTCAAGGGGCCAGAGAAGGAGGAGAAATTGAGGCGGGCAGTCACACAGGTGCTGAAGTGTGATGTGACTCAGAGGCAGCCTCTGGGTGGGGTCCTCCTGCCCCCTGCTGACTGCCTGCTCAGTACTCTGTGTCTGCACGCCGCCTGCGCGGATCTCCCTGCCTACCACGAGGCCCTCAGGAATCTCAGCAGCCTGCTCAAGCCAGGGGGCTTCCTGGTGCTCGTGGATGCGTTGAAGAGTAGCTACTACACAGTGTCCGAGCAGCGCTTCTCCAGCCTCTCCCTGGGTGCAGAGACGGTAGAGGCTGCCGTGAAAGAGGCCGGGTATACCATCGAGCAGTTTGAGGTGATCTCTCAAAGTTACTCCTCCACCACTTCCGACAATGAAGGGCTTTTCTTCTTGGTGGGGCGGAAGCTGGACAGATCTGTGTGACCTCAATAAAGCAATGTATTGACCAGTGGACTTCAAATACTGGTTCCAGCCACTGTGGTCTTTGAGCTGAGCAGATGCTAAGTATCTGCAACTGATGCTTCTTCTAGGACAGAATTGGAATAATCAGTGCAGGAGAAACTTGTAGATCAGTACACAGTGCTCAGCACTCGTGGGCTATTGCCAGCACATCCCAAGATGAGGAACTGGGATGGCCAGTCACCCCTGTGTGTGTTTATAAGAGGATTCACTTCTCCAGGCTCGTAGTTATGGTGGCGCAAGCCCACACCTGCCTTTGAGAAATGTCTGCACTATTAGTTTCTTGGGGGATCGGTGCCCTTGCTTCCTCCTGACCTTTCCCCTCAGCTTTCTCCCCTGAGCCTCTGGTCTCTCTGGGCACAGTCATTTCCTGCTGGACAACCCTGCTTTTTTCTTGAGACCCTTGAGACAAGGTCTCACTATGCAGTTCAGCCTGGTCTTGATCTCACTTTGTAAGCCAAGCTAGTCTTGAACTCACAGCAATCCTCCTGCCTCAGCTACCTGAGTGCTGGGATTACAGGTGTAACCCCTTTGCTCAGCTTGGATACCCCTGATTTTAGCACCATTCTGACCTCAGTGGTCAGAGAACAGCTGGCTAGCATTTCTGTTCATCCCAGGATCCATTTTTTTAAAAAATAAAAGAGAATTTCATTTTCAAGTTCTAATTCACCCACTCACTGTTTTCCTTTGGCAAGTTACATAATCTTGCTGGGCCTCAATTTTGTCTGCAAGATGAGATTTAAATAGAACTTCTTGTTAAGAGAATTAAAATAAACTGCTACACACAAAGCATCCAGAATAACAATGACCACCTCAGAAGCATTTGATAAATATTAACTATGTAATCATTACCATAGTCACTGCAATCATCATCTTTTCTATTAGTTGCCAAATAGCACAGAAAAGATGCCTCAGTGCCCAAGTAGGAGGGGAGGTTGCTGCTCTGGGCTGCAGACATCCGGGCTCCCGACCAGCATTGCTTTCAAGACGGGCAGCGAAAAAAGTCAGTTTCTGAACCACTTATTGCTGATTCTCTTATGATTCAAGAAATACTCAATATTAAATAATGTGTGTAGAACCCTGCACATTTCTTTCATTCATCAGGCCCTGGAAATGCAAATGAAACCCCGGGATCAGCTGGCTGAAGAGTCTTCATCTTTACAGTCATGGAGACACCCAAGTGCCTCTACGTGCTCCAAAGCTGTCCCCAGCTAGAATTCAGTGGATTAGCCACTTCCTGGAGAGGGGACAAAATGATCTACTACACTTTGAGAAAGACATTTCCCCTGCCCATGGCTCTGCCCTCATGCCTCAGAGCCATGCTGATCTCCTGCTGGGGTGGTGGGGGTCACTTTACATCTACACTAGAGGCCGGCAGGCTTTCTTACCCAGAGCTGGATAGGAAATATTTTTGGCATTCTGGGTCATCCAGTCTTGATTGCAACTACCCAGCTCTGCAATTACAGCAGAAACAGCCACAGGCAATGTATAAATGATGTGTGTATGTTCCAACAAACTTTATTTACAAAAACAGGCAGACAAATAGATTCGAAGCAAGCGTTATAGTTTGCAGACTCTTGATCTAGACCCTAACGCAGCTTGTTTATGCCAAAGTGTAATAAAATTTTGCATGAATAATCTGTTTAGTTTCTAACACCCAGTCCTCTGTATAGGAGCGCAAGCCAAATCCAGGAGCTGGCCAAGGCCTGGAGGGCTCATGGTTGCCTTTATACTCTGCTTATCCTCCGTCATTCATGTTGTGTTTTGAATCTAACATGCACATATGCTCGGAGATGGAGTACTGGAAGGTGATTGGATGGCGAGGGCTTTAACTTCTTTAGTGGGCTGAGCCCCTGGGGGATTCATAGCTTGATGGCATCATTGGAGATGCTGGACATTTAGGAAGAGCCTCGCTGAAAGTGTGTGCCCCGGGGACTATATCCCTTCCCTGTCTCTCCTCCTTCTCCCCCTCTTTCTTCTCTTCTTTTCCCTTCTTCTTCCTCTTCTCCCTTTCTTTCTTTCTCTCCCTCTTCCCGTCCTCTCCCTCCCACTTCTCCCGGTTGCCATGAAGTGAGCACCTTCTTCCGCCTGGACCATCTGCATGTTTCTACCCCATTGCAAGCTCTAAAAGCAGCAGAGGCAGCTAACTGGAGCCATCAGCCCAAATAAACCTTTCCTCCTTTGAGTTATTATTTTCTGGTGCTTCATCACAGCAACAGAAAGCTGGCTGATGGACCTCCTCCTTTCTGCTCCATCCTCCATTCATAACTCTTTCTTCTCCCAGATGGAAGCCATTCGGTACACACAAACAGAAAATTAAAAAGCAAGTGAGTGGCAGATAAAGTGTCCAATAGTTTTCAAACTGCAAATTGCCATTCATTGGTGTACCCTAAAGTCGACTTGGTGCACCATGATAAACTCTTTTAAAAACAATCCAGAGTGGATTGGAAAACCAACTCCAGATAGTGGCACTTCTTGTAGTACTGCTTCGTGAAATTCTGTCTTTGTTTTACAAATTTATCTACCTAAACATGCCTATTTGTTACTGGGTCATGATATAACGTATGTTTAGTGCTGTGGGTTATGATTTAAAAAGTTTTAAAACTCCTAGCTGTATTCTGGGCTCCTGGAACACCTTCTGTGAGATCGTTTTTCTTTCACACAAGGTTAAAAGCCCCTGTTCTTAAGAAACTCCTCATCATGGGGAGAATCAGACATGCAAACAGTTAACACAGAGAGAGGACTCTGAGATTCGTAAGCATTGTGTGCCGGGAAGAGGGTGCCTGGATGGGTGGCATTTGCTCCGGGTCTTGCAGGCTGAATAAGGTGTATTTGGCAACCAGAAAGGAAAGGGCAGTCCAAGGGACACCATGTACAAGGTATGAAATGACTTCTTCTGCTGGCAGACTCCTTGCAGGTTTGTTCTTCAAGGGAAGCCGGGACCTAAGCAAACATTTGGCTTCTGATTTTTCATTTACTTTTCATGAAGTCAAATAGACCAACCAAGTCATAAGCAAACATGGACTAGGAGGTCACTCTGCTCCTAACTGGCAAATCTCTTTGACTGCTGACCCAGCACGACTCTTTTCAGGTCCTCTTTCTGGGGATGTGTTGGACAGTCTCACCCGGAGCCAAATGCTGGTGCTGCAGGGAGCCACAGTCCTCGTGTAATATTCCTGGGAAAAGAAAGCCATTAAAAAGGTTGTTAACCCATTTGGTGTCATGTAGCCCAGCCTTGGTAATTCCCATCATCTGGCTGTCAAGAATGATAAAAGGAGATGTCCATGATATGACTTACTAGGCTGAGCTTTAAAAGCTGTGACTGCCCCCTCTAATTTTAACTTCAGCCAATTCTGAATGAGAGGCAGCCCATGAATTTTACAGAGGAGGGAGGAGGAGGAAAACACTCAGGATGGAGGGACAGAAAATTCAATTGCTGTGAGGGCATCATTCCACGTTTTGCAGGTTCAGGACCCCTCTGGAAACGAGGGGTAATAATCTCTTAGGACTGGGTTGAGATCAAATGAGATACTTGTGAAGGCATTTTGCATCCTGTTATGCAACCGAATATATATAACAGAATTTCAGTATTATTAACCCCTCCTAGAACAGCCAGGAGCCACATATGTACATTTGTTCATTATGCTTAATGAGCTAAGTGTGATCTTCAAAATCTGTCTTGCATATGGTTGATGTCTGAGTCAGCACCATATGCATCTTTGATCCAGAGTCCTCTTCATGGTAATATATTCACTCAAAAGTTGTTAATGTGTTGCATTTTCATTATGATCCAAGAGTTGCGCTTGCGCACTAGGAAGTTCCATTGGAAATGTCACAGATTCTGGCCTTACGTCCCTCTGAGGTAGACCAGAAAGCTAGCCACTCCTGCAGCGCCAAGGAAAAGTACTAGATCTTTTGGTTCTCGGATCAGCCATTCAGAAACCTTTTGTGTTTTCTGAAAGAAGCCACAAAAACAAGACAAACCAGGCCTTTCGCAGGGTGGCACCTTCTACCCACACAGTATAGCATCAGAGCACACCCCTCCATCAGCGATAATGTGTTTTAAGAAATATAGCAAAGCCACACATAGTAAGCACACTCACTGGAGCTTTCTGATTCATATTTTTCCAGTGGAAATAGTGATTTATACCTTCTGATCCTCTCTTCTCTCTAAAAGCCAAGCCTCGGTTTCTCACGCAGCCTCAGTCTCTGGCCACAGTCTGTAAGTGAAAATGCGTTCTTTGGCCCTCCCATTACCAGCAGAGGGCGCACGCGACCCTTGCTGAAGGCCTCTGTCCATTTCCCCAAGAAGGAATTTGAAAAAACTTTCCAGAAACAAGGAGCCTCTCCACAGCATTTTGCTTTGTACGCTCTACTAGGCTGCTAGGGAAAGGGAGAAAGGGAACTGAGCACATTTTCCTCTAACAAAAAACATATAACATGTATAATTAATTTTATAGATAGATATATTAAAATTTTCCCTTTTGGGTCTATACACAAAATGCAAATTTTAGTAAACCATACAGAAGTTCTTGGCCAGATTAGCATGAGAATGTTAAATATTAGATTATGCAGTTAACTCACCATCACCTTCTATTTCCTGTTTATTCAAGACGGGCAAAGATGTTTTTGTGCTTTTTCAAGCTCTGGTTTTTTAATATGAAAAAAAAAAAAAAAAAAAGAAGTGTCTCTGTGGCTCTCATTGCTGACCAAACCCTTGTGTTCAAAACTTCAGTTTTTACTTTAATAGCTTTGGGTGGATTCAGGGGAAGAGTTAGGGTTGGATTTCTTTGAGTTAATATTGCTTTTATTCTGACTTCAGTGTTGAAAACCAGGAAATAATTTTTTCCTTGGTAGTTTCTTCACTCTCTGTTCAGAGGAAAACTCTGGGCATTTAAACAAAAAAGAAATTAAAGAACTGTAATCAGTAGTTAGGCTGTTTGTACCCAAGTAACTGTACTGTACTGTGTTATTCCAAAGCGCCAGGACCAGATACAGCGCCCCTTGTGCTACAGAAGCAGGAAGGAAGGCCATTAGAGAACGGAGACACGCTGTGAGCTGCTGCCCCTTAGCACCAGGGGTCAGTTTTTATTGACCTTCTTACCACCCTCTAAAGTTTGCTAAAATCTGTGGACACGTACCCTTTGCTCTAGCAGAATTTATAATCGCAAGTTAAGATTTGCAAATTTAAAAGTTAAACTCTCCTGTTTTATGGGTAAAGAAATAAAGACTGAGCAGGAACAAGCAGCTTCACCCTTCGGTACCTCCTGCTCCTCTGTGAGATGAAAGGCTGCCTCGTGTATCCACAGGTTCAAGGTTCTACGATTTATGAATTAGCGAATCATATTTGTCAAAATAGAGTTCTGACACGAGGACCACCTGAGTTAATCCTATCATTTAACACTCAAGTAAAATTGATTCAAACCCCCATCATTTACACAACCCATAATGTCTTTCATTTTTCAGAGGATTTGAGGGCGATGACTTGCAATTCTCCTGGTGATCTCTAGATTGGAGTTTCTACTTGCTCTTGGATTCTAGATGCAGAATCATCTCACCTTGAGTACATGCTGGTCCTACTCTGCACCCAAGAGCACTGATCTGATGCTGATCTCTTTACATTCTGAAATTCCCCTGACTGTAATGTACATGAGTCAGTCTTTATTGCAGCTTCAAGATAATGGGAATGATTTCCTTTCAGAACCAGAAAAACTGAAAAATGACATCTCTGTAAATAATGGTTTTCTGGGGGAACAGAACCAAGAGAAGATATGTATGAGTACCCATTAGACTGGTTTGCATGTTCAGAGGCTTAACTGTTCCGTGATGGCTGTGTATGGGCTGGAGAGCCAGGATGGACATAGCTGTCTAATCCAAGCAATTGGAAGCCTCAGAATAAGAGGGAAAAACAGTGTAGCCCCAATGCTATTATAAAGGTCTGGAAGCCACCCAGAGAGTCAGTTGTGCAAGTCTGTATTCACAGGCCGAAGAATCTGGGGTCTGATAGCCACAGGTGATGGCAGCAGCCAAAGCAGAAACAAAACAAAACAACTCAACCACAACAAAAACTACCACTCGGGAAGAGTTTAGCACACATATACAAGCTTATTGCTCCTCCCACTTTTCCATTCCATCCAGGTCCCCAGTCCAGTGGACGGTGCTGCCCATATTCAGGGGTTCTCGCCACTCAGTTTTCTGATCCAAATGCTGGCCATCTCTGGGAACCCTCACAAACACACTTAGAAGTGAGTTTTCATCATTTGTAGGCATTGGTCAATCCAGTCAACTTGACAAGCAAGATGAACTATCAGCGGTCCACCCCTGTCATCTTGGCACTCAAAGGCATCTCCTTAAACCACATTTAATTTCCAAATAAAGAAAACAAGGGCACAGTTCCACAGAATAGTCTAGCAGAAAATGCCTCCTCCCCACCAGTATATTTTGGGCCAGGTAATAGTTCCTGCTCCAGATCCAGCTGCTCCTGTCTCTTAGAAACCGTTAGTTACTGTGACACATTGGTGGTCAGTCACTCCGATGCACAGCATACAAACCAATCCCCAAATGAAAAGACATTCTGCCTCTACATTACTGCTTGCTTACCCCAAGGAAGCCCTATACCACCAGAAATCAGGGCCCAATAGTCTGGGAATGATTCTGATCGGTGTCTGTTGATGTAAATAAATCCGTCTCCAAAGCCTGGGTATCATTCTGGTGTTTCTGCTTGATATGCACTATCTCACTTTTATTTCTGTCTCCAAATCCAGGCCATACCAAGCTCCCCTCAAGGACTTTACTGCCCTTGGGATTTCAAGGCATTTAACTTAAAAGGATCATTGGTTTTTTAATTTAAAAATTAGAGAATTAGCAAAACATGGTAGGACAAGTCTAATAGTCTCAGCATTCTGGGAGACGGAGACAGGAGGACTGAGAGTTGAAGTCCAGCCTGTGCTACATGGTGAGTTCAAAGTCAGCAAGACTATGGACTATGTAGCAAGACCCTGTCTCAAGAAATTATGATAGGAGGGTGTGTGGCGCACACCTATAATCCAAACACTTGGATGCAGAAAGATCGCTGTGAGTTTTAGGTCAGCCTGGACTACATAGTGAAATCCAATTTCAAGAGAAAAAAAAAGGAAATATGATTGAATAGAGGGTGAGCCGTGTTTAGAGCCACTCAGAGAAATTCAACCAAACACAGGCACCTGGAACAAAGAGGAGGGACATATACTAAGCTAAGTCAATCTCACGTGAGACTAGCAGGTCAAGCAGAACATAGATACAGGACTTAGTGAAATGTTCAGCCAGCCCACACAGCTGCCAGAGGATCTCTGGATAACTTCCTGCCATAGTTGGAATCTAAAAAGAAGAAGAAGAAGAAAAATAAGGAGGAGGAAGTGGAGGAGGGGGATGATATACTAAGGTAATGTGGCTAAATCAAGCCATGCAGGATAAACTTGGAATGTGTGGTCACCTGCCTCCTCTGTCTTCCTCCAAACAGAAGATGCTGCAGTCCACCAATAAATCCTGCTGACATGAACTATTTCCTCCTTGATGATTGGTCAGTCTTCCTTTTTCCTTTTCTTCCTGTTCCTTTTGTGCACTAGAGTGCTAACTAGAACCACCACAAGTGAGATGAATGACTCCAGATGTGCACAGTAAATGGAACAGCTAGTCTTTCTCCCCATGACCTGTGTTAGAGAGGCCTGGGGAATTAAACAGCCATGCACAGGACTGTGCAGTGCCAGACTGACTCCATGCCGCTGGGAGCAGGAAAATAAGGCCCCAAAGTATCCCATCCTACCTGAGGAAGCTACAGACTACAGCAGAAGCAGGTGATAGCAGCAACAGAACTTGTAAAGCAACAAATGGGAGGTGAGCAGCCCACCTTGGAGAGGAGTTAAGAATTGGAACTGAGCAGGTTTGGACTGCAAAAGCAGGAGCAGACAACCAGACCATATCACAGCATCCCACCCACCCTGCAACAAACAACCTGAGAGGAGAAAGCCTTAGCACTGGAAGAGGAACACAGAAGACTCAGCAAGGATGAGGAGGAGCCAAGATTGCATGGATGGGAATGCCCCCCCCCCGTCTCTGTCTGAAAACAACACAGCAACTGAGAGACAGACACCTCCAAGAGGAACAGGGTAAGGAGTGATGGGCAATAAGGGACACACAGAAAGTACTGGCTGGAGACTCTGGCCCTGGGCCCCACCTCTGGAGGCCAAGAGCATCCTCAAATCCAGCACAAACTTTACAGCAGGCTTGATAGTATTATCCAGTAGTTTTGGATCCTTGGTGGCCACCAGAGGAATTTTGCTTTTTTTACATTATTTTATTTTTCTTCCTTTTTTTGCTGGTTTGTTTTATGTTAGTTTTCCTTCTTGTTTTAATTTCACCTTTTACCTTTATGTTTGTTCTAATCTATTCATCTTCTTTCCCCTTTTGCTCAATTTATATCTCTCGAGTTAATCATATTTTCATATGAGTAAATAGTCTAATTTTTCTGACCCACTTCAAAAACCCCCTTGCTTACTTCATTTTTTCTCTTCTGCCCTCTTTTCTAGTTTTGTGACATTTGTGTGAACATCCTTCATCCCCCAACCCACCTTCTACTTTATTTCTGTTCAGGTATTTCTGTTCTATCTTTGGTTCTCCTTAAATTTCCCAACCACAGGGTAAAACCACTCTATGAAGGAAAACACTTAGCATACAAACTCCCAATTTATGATTAGTTCTGTTATGCAACTATAGATTTTGCCTCCGTGGTTAAAGGTACAAAATTAATAGTTACCACAGTAACTATTCTAAACTGGGTTTGATGCTATGGTTAGTGCTAATTATACTACTTTAACTAGGATATCATATCTGATTTAATCAGTTGTTTTCACATCTGTAACAATACTGGGAGTTTTGGGGTAGTAGCCTCATCATACCAGAACTAAAAGACTAGGGAGTGAGCCAAACAGATACCAACATATAACTCTTAATTAACTGGAAGGGTAGGCTCTTGGGACAGACACAAAGCAAGAACCTTCTATGCATAGAGGACATCCATCCCTGAAGAGCAAACCTTGTTTAGAAAGGCCTTAATACTAGTAATAAAGCTACAAACTACATAAAGTTACAGAAAACAAAATGAAAACTCTTGAAGAGGAAAATGACAAGGTGCAAAGGCAAAATGCAGTCTTGGACTTCCAACTCACTCAGAACATGTCCAGGAGGCAATTAGATAGAAGAAAATGGAGACACACAGCTGACATTTCTGAAATGATAGCAACCAAAGTAAAGAAACAAACCGTGAGGGTATAGAGGAAAGTATTCCAAGCCCTGAAAGAAAATAATCTTCAGCCCAGATTGATGTGCCCTGAAAAACTGTCTCTAGAAATTAATGGAGAAACAAGATGATTCCAAGACAAAAGGAATTGGGGGAATTTGCGACCACCAATCCAACCCAACAGAGAATATGGAAGGACATTCTAGAGAGAGAGAAAAAAATACCGGGATTTCAAGAACAGTGGCAGAGAGGCTTCAATGAATGGAGCAGACAGTGGAATGAAGGAGAAAAGTAGACACCAATGGCAGAAAAATAGCATAGCAGAAATGGGGCAGAGAAGGGTGTCTATAATCTCTAACATAGATAGCCTTGATACACTAAAAAAAAGAAAAGAGCAAAAGAAACACAAGAAGAGTAGATCAGGATGTAGAGTCCACCAAGATGCTCTGTATAGGAAATGTAATTAACCTGAAAAAGGGTTTATGGACCAAAAATCAAGTATGAGGAAAAACAATGCTCTATTTGACAGGGAACCAGAGAGTAATAGGGGCAACTTGACCATCACCTGCAGATAGGTCGGAAAGACAGGATAATTAATTATGTGCAATAGAGAACTACTTAGCTATAATGAAGGAAAACCTTGAGGCATTTGTAGTTAAAGGAATACAACTTGAGATCAAGTCCAGGAGTGAGAAGGTTCAGAACCACTTAGGTAAATAGCAGATTGCCTCCCCCAATCTAAAAACTGAGGGAGTTGGTGGGACCCAAAATGCACAGTGTACCCTGTGGGAGTGAAAGGGGAGGAATAGTCTTAAAAAAGGATGCAGAGGATATTAACAGTGTATCAGGACTTAAAACCCACATTACTTACACTGCTCTGTATAGATGGATTATATTCTGTTCCAGTTTGTCTACTTGGACTAGATTTAAGGGCACAGACAGCTATGCAGAAAATAGCATGAGATAGTACAGTAATCACCCTTAATTTCCTATTAACCTAATCTGAAGCCCTGTATAACTCACACTGTTTTATCATGACTGATCTTAGTTGAATCTGGTTTGTTAGACTGCTGTTTTGTATTGACATATTTTATTCAAATCTGTTATGACTGATAGTATCAAGTCTGAGAGTATAGGCAGCTACACTGAAAATGACAAGATTCACTAGGATACCAGCTCTGGTTTGGTTATTACCTGATTTTGAAGTTTTACACTGTCTACAATGTTTTATTTTTATTAATATTGTTATGTATTGCTATATTCAATTATACTATGCCTGATGATGTACACAATTCTATTGAAGATAACAAGAGACAACACAGTAACTACTGTAGATCACCTTGTCTTGCTTTGAAATTTATGTCTCTTACATTGCTTTCTTATGTTCTGTTTTGTTGTGTTTAATTTTGCCCTCTTTAAAATAAAATAAAATTAAAAAAAAAAAGAAAACAACGTCCAACTCAGATTGATGTACCCTGAAACTATCTTTCAAAATCTTTCACCAGTACTACGGTTTTATATGACTTTTTCATTTCATGTTTTTATAGGAATTTGTTTTGGTTTATTTTGCTTTGTTTTGTTTTTCCATTTAATATAGAAATGATAGAAATACAACGTAGAGACTCATGCATGCATAGAGCTTATAAACAATTTATGAAAACTGATCATATAACATATGATGAAATGAACAACTACTTTAAAGAAAAAGACACACTGCAGTACCCAGTGCTGATTCCATAGCATCATGATGTGAAATCCAGCAGTACTATTATTCTTTGTTCAGAGTGATTTTAGCCCATTTGGTTTTGTTTAATTTCAACATACATGAAGGTGTGGACAGCTATTTTGAATAGAACAGGAGACACTATGACAGCCATTGTTGACTTCCCTATTGTCTGATCTTGAAGACCTTAAACGTCTTCCTCATCATTTTCAGATTGGTTCTATACTATGTTGTTTCATGTAAATTCTCTGTATGTGAAGATATGGACAACTATTTGGAAGAAAACAAGAGACAATGTGATAGATAGTGAAGATCTCTGATTGTCTTGCTTTGAAATTTGTGTCTTTTACATTGCTTTCTTATGCTCTGTTTTGTTGTGTTTAATTTTACCCTCTTTAAAATAAAAAAAAATTTAAAAAAGAAAACAACTTCCAACTCAGATTTATGTACCTTGCAACACAATCTTCAAAATTAATGTAGAAATAAGATACTTCCATGACAAAGAACAACTGAAGAAATTTATAACACTGAACTGTTAGCTGCACATGGGATGTTCTCTAAAATAGACCATGTCCTAGCCCATAGAACATACTTAAGTAAATGCAAAAGAAGTGAAATTATCCCATGTATCTTATTTGACCATACAAGGATGAAGTTGGAAATTAATGGCAAAAAACCACAAAAGCTCCATAAACACATGGAAATAAAATAACGTCTTCCTGAACAACCAATGGGTCACAGATGACAAAGAAGAAATTAAGCAGTATTTACAGTAAAGTGAAAATTCAGATGCACAATACTGGAAACTATGGACACAAAGATAGGCATACTAAGAGGGAAATTTATGGTGGTGAATTCTCAAAACAGGAAAACAGAACAAGCAAAAATAAACAACCTAATATTGCACTTCAATCTTCTAGAAAAAGAAGAGTAAGTGAATCCCAAAGCACTCAGAAGGGAGTAAATTATAAAGATCAGAGTAGGAATTAACAAAATTGTGACTAAGAAACCAAAATTAATTAATCAATGTGTTGGCTCTTTGTAAGAATTTAAAACATTGATTAAACTTTAGCCATCTTATCAAAAAAAGAAGGAAAGTAAGGACTCGAATCCATGCCTTGATGCATGAAAAACGTAATACTACAGATCTTATGGAGACTCAGAAGATCATCAGTGTCTACTTTGAAAATCTTTACTCTCATAGGATGGAAAACACAGAAGAAATGGACAGATTCCTAGATACAGATGAATTACCAAAGCTGAATCAAGAAGATATAAAAAGTCTGAATAAACCAATATCATTCAATAAAAGAAAATGCAATTAAAAACTTACAAAGAAAAGCTCAGGTCTGGGTGGATTTACTGCTGGATTCTACAAGAAATTTAGAGAAAATTTAATAGAATACTCCTCAAACTGTTTAATAAAATTGAAAAGGAAACAACACTCCCTAACTCATTCCTGGAGGGAAGTATTACCCTAGTAAAAAACCAGAGAAAGATCCAACCAAAAAACAGAGAATTATAAGCTCATCTCCTTAATGAACACAGATGCAAAAATCCTCAAGAAAATACTAGCAAACAGAATGCAGAAAACCAATGAGAAGGTTGTACACCGTGACCAAGTGGGATTCATCCCAGAAATGCCATATTGTCTCCTACTTTGAGAAACTTAAAGGGTAAGTTCTAAAATGCACAATAGATATTGTGCAATGGGAAAAAATTGTTCAAAAGGAAAACAACTAGGATGGGTTAAAGGGAAAAGGGAAAAATGCAAGTCAGTTGTACTATTAGCACCTCTTAGTTCACTAAAAAATATTTGTGCTAATAATGAGTGGAGAAATTTTAACGTTAATATCTTGTACTCTGAGCAACTACTTTAAAGACAACAACATGTAATGTATTAACTGCTGTCATTCTCCTATCATCTTGTTATGAAATTTTGTTTTGCCCTTTTCCACAGAATAAAAAATTTAAACTAAAATAGAATTCTATTTGTCTACATAATGAAGAGCTTAGGCCCTGAGCTCCCTAACACCAAAAATAAAGAATGGAAGTCTCAGTTACAAGGTTCATTGGGTTCATAAATGCTCACAGTAGCAGAATTTTTCCCTGACAGTTCCCACAGTTCAAGATCATGGAAATATCATATATGTATCATTCTCACCTGTTCCTATTGGCTTATCTCAATTGGTGATTTTAACTTGACTTTTTGCAACACTAAGTCCTTCAGAAGAGCATTATAAATTCTGCAGACAAGAACAAGTATTTCTTAAGTGGTTGGGATGGTTCTCAGAGCTGGCTAGATAGAGACACAAGGCAGACAGGCTCCCTGCCCTCCTGGAGCCCATAGTCAAGATGTGCAAAGGGAAGCAGGTGGCCAGCGTTAGTATGTAATGTGGTATCTCTTGGGAAAACAGGAGACACCAGAAGGGTGTACCTCACACTGTTGACAAAGGGTTTCTTGAGGAAGCGATATTTCAGATGAAGTAAGAGTTGTCTGAGAATAAACAGAGGGAAAAATTCCAGCTAGAAGAGCATATACAAAAAAGCCTAGAAACTGAAGGGACAGCACACAGGATTGGGGACTGTGGTAGATCTTGTGGTCATATCCAGACCCTTCCATCTGACTCAGCGTAACAGCTCCCAGCTGTTCTGGCTCACAGCTGCTCCTTCTCAGGAGAATTGTTCTAGCTCATTGGAGCCACCTCATTCAAGAAGCTGCAGGCCATTTCCCTCCCCTGCAAGAAGCAGCCCATGGCCCACAGAGGACTGATCGCAGGATTCAGTAAGCTTGTCCTCTCTCAATAAGGACATTTGTCCATGCAGTTTACGCTCCTGTGCCTACTTCTTCATTGATCAGGCTAATGCTCAAGTTTACCCAAGCATCCTTGCTCAGCCTTCTCTTCTGTCTCTACTCAGTTCTCCTAAATGGCTTTGCTTCTTGAGCTCTGTTTCTGGAGAACCCAAAGTGAAGACAGCACTCCTAGGATAACTGTTGAAATTAAAGTGTAGACTTCAATTGACTTGGTTCAAACGTGATCCCCATCTATTACCAGGTTAAGGTTTTACTGACTTAAATGATTGCCAATTTCAATAAAAATTCTTATGTAATGTATCATTTCAATTTCTGATCATTAGAATCATAATCACATTTAACTTATTTCAGCTTCATGAATTTATAAATAAGAACATTAAGACTGAATGAACCATGACATTTGGGCAAATCTTTTCTAAAGCAATCTCACTGAAAAGTGGGTATGATGATCTGACATCTCTCTGTTTTAACTAAGTAGAATAAAACATAATTCGAGTACCTAATATTTTTGATCTCCTAGAAGATGAGGACAGGAACACAACCATCAATATTCCAAGTCCTGGGAATTTATACACTTTATGTTAAATAAGGAGTTGATTTCTGGAGCTGGAGCTAGAGCTCAGCAGCATAGAGCCTGCCTGGCAAGCACAGGGTCCTTAGTTTGATTTCCAGTTTAAAAAAAAAAGTTACTTTCTTTTATGATTTAGTATTTTGTGTCTGAATTTTAGTGTCTGAGTATTTTAGTGTGAATCGGTGACTACATCATCGATAGAGGCATTGACAAATTAAGTTAATGAACCTATAAGATGAGACACTGAATCAAAAGCCTGACACTCTCTGAAACAATGAAATAGTATAATGTTTTTTTCATGCTCCTTTTGTCCCTTAGAAATCAAGGCAAATGACCTTCCATAATAGAGCATAATGGGTGGGAGATATTCAAGGGTGACCAGAAAGAGACCCACTGTGAGGCGAAGAAAGCAGAACACCTCTTCACCACTGCAGTGTGCTTTTTAGTTTCTTGCTCCCAGGCAGTAAACATAATCCATGAATTAAAGATAATTAGTGTCCTTCTAGAAAATGCAACTGTAATTACAGACATCTAAGTGCACTTAGTGCATTTGACAAGAATCAACTCTTTCACAGTTCACAGAGGGTCCTACTGGCTGGAGGGCAAACTCAGCACCCTTAGTAACTTGGTAATTATTAGAAGCTATAAAGAAACCCGCCTCCCAGGAAACAGTATGGTCCCTACAGTGGAGGATGAAACATCCTATCTTTATCATAAGGAAAAGCACCACCCATTCATAGGCTAGGTGAGATCAATGCCCAAGTCCCATGGAGTGGACTTATTCTTGTCATTTTTCTCGGGCTCATAAGAACCTACTAGCTGTCAGGTACTAGGAACTGGGGCAATAAACAGTAAATCAGATGCATGTGGTCCTTGGCCTCTCCGAGCTAGTGAGTGATATGGCCTGAATGTTTGCTTCTCTGCAAACTGATGTACTGAAAACTAACTTCCAAAATGACGGTGTTAGGAGTAGGAATATTCAGGAGGATATTGGGTCAAGAAGTGGAGCATCCATGATGGCATCAGCGATTTAAAAAAAAAATAGACACAGGAGCTCAATCTTGTACTGTGCTTTCTGCCACGTGAGCAAATATTGAGAAGAAATCCATCAACAAACAAGGAAGAGGCCCCCCGACAGTGGATCCATTGGCAACTTGATGTTGGGCGTCCCAGCCCCCACATGATGACAGATGAAAGTGAGTGTCCAGGATACCCAGTCTGATAGACTAGGAACCCAAGAGTGGGTAAGCAGCCAAGCAAAAATAATTCCGTGTAGAAACTGGCATATAGAAAGGCACATGGTTGCAATTTTCTGAAGAGAGTGACTTCTAAACTGAAACCTGGAGGATGAAGTCAGAAAGGAACACAGGTAGAAGGTTGGGAGTAAGGAAAATCGTATTTCAGATAAGTGTAAAAGAGAACTGGGAACAAAACACAGAGGCTGCCCAATTTTAAGAACCAAGGAAGTTCTTCGAGGTTGGGTCTGCAGGGTCCGAGAGAGGCCTGGCTAGAGACAGACTTATGAGAGAAACAGAGGCTGAGTCAGGGAGACTGAGGCCATTGAGAAGCAATTCTGAGCACACCAAGAGCTCCCTGAAGGTAGTAAGTAAGGAAAAAACAAAACACAATCTTGAAAAACATAGACAGTTCTACTGTCCTTCAACGCTTTCACAGAAGGAACCCACAGTTTCTCTGGGTTCTTTAGTCTACCAGTTAACTGGAAGAAAACGTTTGGTTTTACCAAAGCCCTTGCCCTCTGGTCATGTTGGGACTACTCCTGCCTAAGAACCTTTAATGATTCCCCGTGGTACGTGAGTCACGGGGTGTATCTAGACGTCCTCCCGAAGCCACATCTGCTCGCAGGTGGGACTTTTTTGAAGTGGCTGGATTTAGAGTATGTAATACTGGAATTAAAGGTTGTGATAGTTAATGAGTTTAGCATAGTCCTGGGTGTGGGTAATGAGAACTCCACACTCGTGTGGGCAGCATTAATCAGGAA